ATACTAGATACTTCATCTGTATGTAAAATTTTTTCAAAATTATTATTGACATTAAGCATGACGTATTTCACAATGTAATGTAATGTTAAAGGAAATTCAAGTATTTTCTGATTGGACTTTAAGTACAATTACATTATCTTTGAATGATGTTACTTTGAAATTACGAAGACCAAAGCGTGAAACATGTCCATGGACAATTGTTCATTCAGATTTGCCTGATGTATCTGAACTTGGATCCTTTGATAAGAATATACCAAATTTGGCTGCAGCAAGAAATAAACTTAAGAGTCAAGTACAGATACTTGAAAGAGCATGGTGGAATTTAAAGGAAATCGATGAGTTAGTTTAAGAATATATTTCTTTCTATCTTCTCCAAAATAATGCTACATGTATATTACTACAAACTGATTAGGAATTGTTATGTGCTAGATCCACTGGTACCAAAACCATGTCATCTCTTCAGGCAAATTTACTTAACATCGTCTCTGTCAATGTTCATTAGAATAAATGCCTTATATCCAATGGATGTGCCAGAAATCAAATTCCTGGGCAGTGACATAGAGGTGGAATTGAAAAAGGATGTGGTTTCCAGGAATTTACATGTATGTATATCATACTATTGCTATAATAGAGCTGAGGATGTAATTACAATGGCAATGTTCGTGTATTTTGCTTAGAATTGGGATCCAGGATGTGATTTTATAGATAATATGTCGATGTTACTGAATATAGACACGTTCCCTAAAAAAGAGGAAGTGAAGAAAGAAACATCTATGGAAGAACACAGAGGTGCTATTTCAGATGAAGAATGTTGCATTTGTTTTTCTCTTGAATCAGATGATGAGACTTTACCTGATAAAATTTGTAACAATAATAAATGTAGAAGACATTTCCATACCTCTTGCCTGTTGCAGGTATGTCATTAACTCAGCTTTAAAAAAATTAAATTTTTATTCTTTTTAAATATTATAAATACATTATTTGATTTTTTACAGTGGTTACAAACAATTGCTGGAAACCATGTTGTATTTGATCATATATATGGTTCATGCCCCAATTGCCGAGAAAATATATCATGCTACATTAAATAATACGATTTAGAAATCTTCTATTGAAATATGTATGCATGACAATAATTCATGGATTTTACCCATTGTTCAACAGAACTATTGAACTCACGAGTGCCACATATTAAGATCAATGTACTATCAGGTACCGTATCTTGAAGTACTTCGAGAACTGACTTTTGGTCTAATCTTCCAGATTTTATATTTATACCATGAAGACTATAATCATCTTGAATATTAGGAACAATGAAATATTTCCAATTAAAGATTTGATATATAGAATATTTTATGTTGATTATAGTAG